AGTCAATTTAATACAGCAAAACCATTCCAATCTCAAAGAAAAAACAAAGTTAAATTATAGTTCTAACCTCGAAAGTTAATACTAAAAAGAAAAAATTATATATTGTACCTAACAAACTCATATTTTCTTTTACAAACCCATTCCCGTGAATTTCCGTGAAAACCCCCGTGATTTTATTAAAAGTGTATTATTAAAAATATAAAATAAAAAACAATTTTCAAGATACGTTTTATTTTAAAATTATTTCAATAATGACAATAGAGCTCTTGTCACTTGTGGCACTTCTTCATTATCTGAAATTAAAATTAGATTAAAAATATTTTATATTGGATAATATAATATTGTAATCAAATCATTTTAAATTTTATTTAATAATCTCTCCGCCTATTTAATATGAAATTTACAGCCATTTATTTTTCCTTCATTTCATTAGACGTATATAAATAATTTACAAAACTAATTTACAAATAACTAACTACTAATTAAAATAATTATAACACAACAAAACTGAATAAAATCAACTTGGAAAACAAACAATTCAATAACAATTAAAAAGTAGGGTTATGACTTCTTATTCTTCTTTTTATTTATCAATAATAGTTCAAACGTACCCAAAGTAGTACCCATTGACTTAAGAAGTTCGTTTCCATAAGAATTACTTTGGAAGGCAACTGTTCAGGTATCGTTGGTGAAATCTGGCATAAGAAACTTAAAAGGCATAAAAACTTTAAAAAATATTGGTTTTTAAATATTTCTATCCTTATTTGTTGCTTGGAAAGTTACAAAATTTCGTTTTTTTATAAATGTAAATAAAAAACTTTTTTAAACATAAAATAATAGCAAAACTCAAGTTCGTGACATTTTAAAACAAAAAATCTGATTTGGAAATTGGAAAAGTTCATAAAAAAAGGGATTAAGACTAAAGGTGTTGTCATCAATATTATAGTGTACGGTTGGTTTCGTAAAGTGACAAGTAAGAACATTCCATTAGCGGGACCGATAATAAAAGAAGGAGCTTTGGTGGCGGCGAAAAAACTCAATTTGAGCTTTAATGCTTGCATTTCAGAGGGGCAAGAAATCGAAGAGGTATCCAAGGTTTCCGACAACGAGAGTGACGATGATGTAGAGCTTAACTACAACTACTGTACTTAATAATTTAAGTAATATAAATGATTTAGTTTTAAATTTTGAGTCAGATATTGTAAAAATTAATGTTCAAAACGAAAAACAATGCAAAATTTATGATTTTTCTTTTTGAGAAGTAATGCCTACATTTTTAACATTTCTATTTTATTTATTTTATGTGTACTATAAACGAATTTTGGTAGTTTGGTAAAAAACTTGTCCTTTTCATCAAACTAAAAATATTAGCATTAGAGATACGAATAAAATGTTCATATTATATAAAAGTGTATTTTTTTTCGTCTTGATGGCTTCTTAATGGTGCTTTAAGTAAACTTAAATTTAGTTTAATTTATTTTTAGTTTATTTTCAACATTGGCAGGAAGCGTTACTATTAAATTTTATACTGGCAACTGCGACTATACCGAAACGTCGTCAAAATAATGGATTTTCAAAACGAAAATTATTTAACACAGAGTCAAACTCAGAAAACCACAGAAAGTATATAAACAAATAAAGAAATATCAATAGTGGAGTAGCAGTTAATATATTTATCCCAAAATATAAACAAAACTATCTATGACGTTGCTGTCGATCTTTCAAATTTTTTTAATTAATTTCAAAGCATTCCTTGTGGGATTGATTCTATTACCACAACTTGAACACAATATATTATGAAATATTACAAAAACACATAGTTAATTATAAAGGAGATAAAAAAATAGTTTTAAATAAAAACAATTAGAACACCCAATTTATTGTGATTTTTTTAAGGGAAACACATTTTATTTTATTTAAAGTATCTCGGGTGCTTTAAGATTTTTGCCCTTATGTTGAAGTCTTGCTAGTAAGTCTTACCACTCCTCTAGTTTCATCGTTTAATCCTGTATTAACAATAGGTATACTCTCTTAATATTTAGTTTTGCTTTTTCTTTCTTGCTAAAGCGTGTTTTTAATTATTTTGCCTTGGTGCTTAATTTTTGTTACTTTTCACTGTATTTGTATAACAGCAATTATTAATATATTTTTTTATATACACCTACTCACTGCTGTAATAAGTAACTAAACTTATTTTATTTAATTACTATTAAACTGGGAATAAGCCACAATAAAAGATAAAAATACGTTTATTGACGTTTCAATTTCCACTTCGGAAATCGTTCTCAAAATACAAGCAGTAAATTAAACAAATTTTGTTGTTTCTTACATAGTGAAAAATTCTTCTAATAATTTCATTTTATCTGACTCATTTATATTGACAATTCAGACATACATTATGCATTTTAAAGTAGACGACTTTAAAATGATATTGCCAATATTGTTGAATTGCGCTCCTGGGACGACTTTACTTATAAGATAGTTCATTCGATTATAATATATTATTATATTATATTATATTATGTATAGAAAAACCAACACACACTAATAGATATTTAAATTTCAAATCAAATCACAATATTAATGTAAAAAAGGGAATAATTAAATCCTTATACGATTGAGCCAAAATTGCTTGTTCTAATGAAAATTCGTTCTTGGAGGAGAAACATTTATTAACATCTGTTTTATTAAAAAATGATTATCCTTTATCGTTTATAAATAAGGAATTTTCAACAATCCATCGAATAGAACAGAACAACTTAGAACGAGATCCTACAGCATACACAAGGAATAATATGAGGAAAATAACAATACCGTACATAAAAGGACTATCAGAAAAACTTGAAAGGATAGGAAATAAATTCAACATTTCAACAACATTCAAAACAACAAACACGTTGAGATCTATTTTGTCCAAAATAAAACCTAGCAATGAACAAGACAGGACAAAGAATTGCATTTATAAAATACCTTGTGAATGCGATCAGTTTTATTTAGGTGAATCATCAAGGCCATTAAATGTTAGAATAAGTGAACATCAATCTTATATTAAAAATAAAGAATTTTATGGATCTCAAATCTGTAAACACGCATGGGATAATGAACATAGGGTACAATGGAATAATTCAAATGTAGTTCTAAAAGAAACGGATGGTAAAAAAAGAAAAATCAAAGAAGCGGCTCTAGTTATGCTAAATAAGGCCAATTGTGTCGCAAATTCCTCGGCAGAATGTAGTAGGATCTGGTTACCAATATTGAAAGAGGAAGTTATTAATAAGAAAATACCAGTATTAGTAAGTCAGTAACATATAGAGGATACATCATTTATGTTTTTTAAATAACGTAAAATATAAAATCAGAATTTTAATGTTTGTTGAAGGTAAACTAAATTCACGAACAAATACTTACAATGTCGGGATAGTATTATGAGGTTTTTTTTCCTGGTTTTTTCTCATAATTTCCTCATAATATCATTTTAAAGTCGTCTACTTTAAAATGCATAATGTATGTCTGAATTTTCAATATAAATGAGTCAGATAAAATTAAATTATTAGAAGAATTTTTCACTATGTAACAAAAAACAAAATATGTTTAATTTACTGTTTGTATTTTGAGAACGATTTCCGAAGTGGAAATTGAAACGTCAATAAACGTATTTTTATCTTTAATTGTGGCTTATTCCCAGTTTAATAGTAATTAATTTACAATGCCACAAGAAAATAGCTTCAGAACAATATTATTTTATTTAGACTATATAAATAAAATATTCTCTTGTTCCAATGGCGTTACAGCCCAAATCGTACATTGACCTCCTACAAACTATGTCTCCAGCCTTTCCGGTTTGGTGCTGATCTTCTTCAGGTTTTCGTGTCTAGCAAATTTTGCGCATTCGCTGCTAGTTCATCCTTTCACCTTTTTCGTAGCATTCATTTTGGTCTTTCGCCCTGCATTTTACTATCTACAGCTATTTTTAAACAGCTAAAAAGTTCACTATTATACCTGGATTTTCCTACTGCGTTTTTGTTAATAGGTCTAAACATCTTTCTTACAACTTTTTTCAAGACTTCCATCTTTCGTTTTGGGTCTTTTGTCTTCATCCATGTCTTGCATCCATAACGTACTATCAGTCTGATAACAGTTTTGTAGACTCTGATTTTCGATCTCCAGTGTGTGTTTTTGAAGTGAAACATATGAACAAGTGAAAAGTAAACTTTGTTTTCGTTTACTATTCTATTTTTAATTTTTAGTTCTTCTGTTTCATTTGTGTTTAATGTAATTCCCAGATATGTGAAACTTTCTACAGATTTAATATCGTCTTTGTGCGTCTGTTTCTCTGTTTTTAATTGTAAATGTCGGATCGTTTATTCTACAAGACATGACGCTAATGTCATTGGCATAGGCGGCAATCTGTATTGATTTATTTGTTAGGAGATTATCTCTTTCTATATTTAGCTGTCTTATCGCATATTAAAGAGTCAGGTTAAATAGTGTCGATGCCAGCCCGTCTCCTTATTTTAGTCCTTTAACGTTTAAAAAGTTCTCATTGAGCTCTTTTTGTAGTTAACGTGTGATAGTTACTGTTGATTCTTTAACTAGTCGATGTATTTTTTAAGGATGTTAAAGCTGTGCCATATTTGAATTTTTGTATGTTAATTGAGTCGTATGCCTGAAATCTATGAATATGTTGGGGACGTCATCGTCGTATTCCCGCGATTTGTTTGATATTTGTTTTACTCTGAATAGATGGACAGTTGTAGACCTTCCTTGTAGGAACCAGGTTTAATATTCTTTGACAATTAACTGAAAATTTTTTTGAAGCAATAAAATAATGGTCGTATATATAGCTCAGATTTCCATAATATATTTAAAAATATATATAAAACTGTATTTTCACAAATTCCTCCAACTTAAATTGTGTGGCAAAATATACAATTTTGTGCCTGTCGAGACAAGTGAGTTAATATGAAAATTTATTTTGTTTTCCGTTTTGTTATTTTCAGGGTGGTTAAATCCACGGAGGATGTGAAGCAGGATATACAAAAAATACTGACAGCGGTCTCCGTCTACAGCGAGTCCGAACTGACAAATGAGGCGAAAAGTATGGAACAGTTTACGGATGAACACATCGCCAATTTAGAAACGTTTAATAATTGGTTTAAAGGTATTTTACGTTTTGCAGTAAAATATTAAAAGTGATTATAACCTTTTTCTTGTTATATATACTATCGAATAATCACTTCTTCAAATGATCTGTTATAAATTGGTCTGAATAATAGTTTAAATATGACTTAACTTTTATGCAATATCAAGAAAATTCTAGTTCTTGAAATACCTTTAAAATAAAGTTTTAAATATTACTGTTTTTTTGGTCATCACAGAATTGGTGCGAACAGACAAAACAAGTGAGAATAGCAGTACATCACAATCATTTAAAACAACCAATAAAAGTAAACTGTTATCTATTGTGTTCAAAACCAAACCTAACAAAAGTTTATATAAAATATTTTATAAAAGGTTGTAAAAGGTACGGTATATAAATTATACACCTTTTATATATTATTTTAAAAATCTTTTGTAATTGATCACATACAGCCAATTAAAGATATTTCATTTGCATGTGGGTTTTAAACGTAACAACACAAAAGAGAGATCAAAGATCTGCATCATATTTTATTTGGTAGAAACTGCAAGACCTCTAAAGGTCAGGGTAAACAAACATAAAACACATCAAACCATAAACTTTAAAAAATCTCCGATATTCAAACATGCATGTGAAAATAAACATGTTAGGATGCATCAATAGTAATGAAAGGAACAGATCCGAAAATGATAAAAAGCGAAACAGTTTTTTCTTATTTAATAAAGAAACATTTGTAGCAAATCTATCAGCAGAATGTCGCAGGTAGCCAATACTAAAAGGAGAAATCGATAACAAGAATATACCAACTGACTAAATTTTGCTGTAATCTTTACTAATTGTTGGGGGAAAGCTTATTGACTTCCTTTTCCAAGACGGGTACAGTGAAAATATTTTAGGACCATGAAACTATTAAAGATATTCCTTCTATAACGTAAGCAGACTTCACGGCGATAATTCTTTATGTGTTTGGTTTTATCGGGTTGTACTTAAAAATTTATCGATACTACACATTTTATAACGAGAAAATATTTAGAGAAAAAAAACTATCACGAATAAATGAGTTTGCTTCACAACATTGTTCATAATTTATACCGGTGCTTTTGTAGCGTGCAAATATAGCGAAAACTAATACAGTTTTTACTGCATTAAATTTAAATAATCTAGCTATCCAATAAACTATTGATATGACATAATTAAATTCTATAATAAAAGAACTTATAAATCAAATGGGTACAATGATCTGAGCAATCTGATCTCTATTCTCATCAATTAAATAGCAAAATGACTCACCTAACTGAAATTAATTACTAAAAGGCCAACGGCCTATGCAAATACGCTCAAGAAATCCGTGTTAGGGTATGATACATAATATACCGAATATCTAGATGATACCGCGCATGAAGGGACTGTTTAATAATAATACGAAATATCAAACATCACACGATAAAAGGATATTATTGCGATTATCTACAGAAAACAAAAATAGTAATATCTGCCATATACTCTCCGCCAGAACACAACATTAAAATAAAACAATACTTACCAAGATTTTCTCAGATCGTTAGGTAATAAATATGTAGCTGGTGGAGACTGGCTAAATATACACAATGGGGTTCTAGGGCCATATCAACTAAAGGCAAGAAATTGTATGAGATAACAAGTCAAGTACTGGCCAACGAACCTATTGGACCAGCGATCCAAGAAGTCTACCCGATATACTAGACTTTTTGATCATAAAAGGAATTGGTAAAAAATATTGTAAGGTCGGGTCTTTTTTCATTGAAATAAAGTCAAGAATTTATAGAGCCAGGGTAAGACCAATAATGACATCTCCTTCAGAAACAGAACCCGGCACAGCCATAATTCAAAGTTTATTGGAAACGGCAGAGATGAGAGTACTTGTACAGAGAATTACAAGAATTACAGAAAATACGCTGAGAAGTCGAAAGAGAAGTGAAGATATTAGAAGAACATATATACAGTGTATAAATAAATAGACACAAAATAAAAAAAAATGGAATAACCACATAAGCACAAAGAAGGAATCGTGTGTCGTCAAAATAGTAAGTCACCAATTGGCAAATAAGATATCGGACGACCGCGCAAAAGCTGGAATGACAACCTGACAACCTTTCATAGAGGTATTAATTCGTCAACGAACAAGCGAGGAAGAAGAAGAATATAAAACATGCAGGGTAAATGGGCCAGATAATTCAAAAAAAGCTGCAGCTTTTTAGTACTACGTGAATACCTAGTAGAAGTTTATAAACCAAATAAACTAGATCCTAATGACTATTTTAGCGAGATGGATCACTTTAACTAAACTTACCAAATAAAAACTTTACGCTGACCAAAATAAGAAATACAATTGTTAAAAATAAAAAACCAAAAAAAGCTCCAGGATTTGATCTGATAACAGACAAGGTATTGCAAGAATGTACAATAAAACGTTACAAATATCTGCAGCTACCAGCTAGCTAGCGCAGTTTCAACGTTATTATCAGAACAGGCTATTCCGAGTCAATGGATTATCCTGGTACCAAAACCTGGAAAAAACCAGAACAGATATTCAAGGGACTGGCCAGATATTATCAGAATAAGTTTTTTTGTCCCCGTGCCCTCGTGCGTGTTCACAGCAAGATAGAGTCAAACTAGTTTTTTTTTATTAATATTATAATTAAAGTGTTTTTGTTCTCAACAGTCATGTTTAATATTTTAAATTAAAATTAATATAGAATTAAAATAGTAAACATCTAGGGATTCATTTTTTTTTCAGACTTTGAAGTTTTAATACATCTTTGCCATAGTTCATTAATATCACGCTTTTGCTGCCATGTTAAAAATTCTAACCATCAACTTTTTTTTAATGTTTTTTATACAATTTATAGATGTACAAGAAGACTCTGTATGGATGATGAATCAAGTTTATAAAGAAAGATTTGAATTCTTGCAGAATATACGTGACATTGTGAGGCCCAGATCTAAAGGCAAAAAAGGAATTTCCAATAAGAAGAAGAAAAAATAGATAACAAAGAATGACGCAATATTTAATATTGCATTACGGTTTTACCGTTTTTGTAATATTTTAATGGTTATTATTTTATAATTTTAAATAGATTTTTATATCATCAGCTAAAATATAATTCAGTCCTTCCCCTGCTTTATTTAAATTCTTTATGTTTCATACCCTAATGATTTAAATAATAGCGAAAAATAAAATGGTTTTTTACTGGAATTAACACAAAGCAGTTTGACTAACATTTGACTATTAAATAATTTAGAGGAGTGCGGTCCTGTACTTAGTTGATTAGGTACACCTAAAACTTGGTCTCGGAAGTTTTTTATCGTTTTCCTATAGTAAATTTTAAAATTTATTATAAAAAACATAATCAGTAGTTTAGTTTTATCAAAATATATAGGGTTTCATCAAAATCTCACATAATTACGTATTTCAATCCAGTCATACAGTTTTGTAAATTAAAAAGTGTTTAACAATAACTTGTTTTTTGGCTTATCTTTGATAAGTTAAAGACTTTATATTTAACACGACCCAATTACAATATAATAAAACGTAACAAGATAATTAAAATAAAAAGTACCTACTTAACAATTTTATTCGATGGCCGGTACTTCTGACTACAGGGGTCCTGCAATGTTACCCGATCAACAAACACTATCTTACGCTACAATTACTAAACAAAAAGCAGCTACATTTCCTTCCAAGGAACAAGCCATTATTATTCCAGCAGTAGACACACTAAAACTAAATCCACAAGGAAAACAATTCCTGTAGCTGGCTGTATACCACCAAAAAAGAGGTTAGTCTTCGTAAGTGGGTATATTTATTTAAAAATCCCTTAAAAGGGCTACATAAAAAAAACAAACGTTTTCAGACTAAACAGTCCATCATCAGGTTTAAATTTTAAAATTGCCTAAAATAAGTATAAACCATTTAGTTAAAACAAACTTGGTTATGAAATTTTGACTATGGTTAAAAAGCAACAATGGCTATACTTACTAGGTTAAAATGCCTGAGCTACCAAAATACATGGGTAAAAACTCTTTAAATTACATATAGTTGTAAAAGATTATACATCTTGTTGTTAACAAACTGTGATGTTCAGTATTAAATTAAATATGACTTAAGGTAACGTACATTTTTGAATTGAGTTCCACAGCCGGGGAGTAAACCTCTACACACGGAGAACAGATGGAAACTGATTGAAAATATACCTATAAACGGTGTTAAAAACAAAATGTCAATGTAACATGGAATTATATTAGTTATACCTGGTATTACTACAACCAAAAGATTCAAAAATTATTTTGATGATCTTAAAAATAATAACAGCAATCTAGGTGTTGGGATTTAAAATTTGGGTTATAATCGATGTGAAATCACCGATGATGTTGTCATGTTTAACGCGCACATAACCGCTGTAAGAAAAATGTTTTTGCTTACTGAATATTATGTTTAGAGGGCTCTATTTTCAGAATCAATTACATTTTTGTTTCTATTTTAATTTTTTTGACATTTTATTGACGTTGTATCTCATAGGATACACTGCTAGGCGTACCGTATATTACAATGTATCTCGCAAGACACATTGCCAGGTATACTATAAAACAAGTACTGATGACCAATAGATACATTGCCAGGTTATTAGAAAAATACCTCCGTATCTAGAAAGATACATTGCCAAGATGTATATTTGTCGTTTGGACCAATATATTAAATAATGTTGGATTAAATGGAAATTATCAAATTTTCACAAAATATAATAAAAACATTAAACAAATCTATAATTTTTTCGCTAAGGATCTTTAGCATTATCAAAACTTTTAGCAAAACAATCGTAGATTTGTTTAATGTTTTTACTACATTTTGTGGAACTGTGTTTTACTTCAGTTATTATGAACAGATACCATAAAATAGGGGTTTAAACCATAAACATAATATTTTATCATTTAATATCAATCATGTACACTTAAAAATTATCAATAAACTACAATGATGATCAAACATTTATTTTTACAGCTTAAATTCAAAACTTTAAAAAAAACTTAGAACACTCAAAAAATAAAAGTAAAAAGTAATAATTAAAATTTGTTAAAAAATTAAAAAATTTAGTTATGAAAATCATAAAAACAATTACGGGATTCCACTAAACATAACCTCGCTCTACATTTTGAACAACTCATAGTTGTTTGTCCTTTGCAACAGTTTCGACATCGTCCTTTGGCTGTAAAAGTTGGAAAAAAGTGTTCAAAAAGACCTCTTCTAACATCGTCTCCAAGTATATTCTGGACGTGAGTACGAATCTTTTTTTTTTCGGTGTATTAATTTCGTCGGATCTCCTTTTTCTATTTTTAAATAGAAGGGAATCGACAAGTAATATTTTAAATTCCTTTAGACCCATACCATTTTCTTCGTCCTTCAGTAAATTATTATCTCTGCGATATAAAATCCAATCGTTGTTGACACATATATCCAGTATTTGGGAAAAAATTGAAAAATACCACCTCTGGCTTTTAAAAGGTGTTCGATAAAGCGCAACTAGCGTATCTGCCAAATCTACGCCACACATATGTGCATTGTACTGTTTGATAATTGATGGACAGGGTATATATATATATATATATATATATATATATATATATATATATATATATATATAATATATATATATATATATATATATATATATAATAAAGGTAAAAGATGGCATTGCAACAAAGGAAAAAATATATATAATAATATATGTGTATAAGATGGTATATTGGTAGTTTCTGACTATTGGTCGTCTTCAGTACGGTGCAGCCAAGTTAGAAAAAGAGCATATTAACTTGATAAAGGAAAAACAGTTTTTGTAAATTTACATTACATTTTTCTTTTTGTGAAAAAAACATACAATTTTTCACAAAAGAATTTTTACAGCTTTGACCAGCTTTTACGGCAATATTCTCAAAATCGTAAGTAACATCAACTTAATTAAAACAGATTGTCAATTTTCATGTGAAACTATTTGTAGCTTATCCCTGATGATGTCCACGACTATCGACGAAATACTGGATTAATAAAGGACTAAAGAGTCTTAGTCTTAGCTTAGCCTATCCTTTCAGCTGTTTGTACCCAAAGAGTTTTATTGTTTACTTTATTTTTTAACTTAAGCAGCTGTGATTAACACTATATATATATATATATATATATATATATATATATATATATATATATATATATATATATATATATATATATATATATATATATATATATATATATATATATATATATATATATTATATATATAATTATATATATATATATATTATATATATAATTATATATATATGTATATATATATATATATATATATATATATATATCGGAAAAAGGAGTACGACCGTCAATCCAATATATATATAAGGATCACTCAGACGAGTGGTGGGTTCTTATATCGGTCTCTAGGTGGAGAAATAAAAGACAAAGTTGATAGGCTACTTTATCTATTTTGAAGACGTTTCGCTTTCGAGTTTTGAAAGCATCATCAGTTCATCTAAAAAATTATTACAATATGAGAACCACACAATCATGGAAACGATGTTAATTGTTACCTTAAAAAGATATGTAGCAGTCAATGTTATTAACAAACATGTGAATGAAACTAAGTAAATGGACATAATACGCTGATCTTGTATAAACAGTTAAGCAACTAACAACATATATGAACTTGTAAAAAATTAGCACAGTAAATGACCATGTGGTCTAAAGTAAATTCTATGTTATTTTATGTTAATAAGTGAGTAAGAACCAAGAAAATCATAGATAACTTCCAACTATTTAATGGATATTAAGCTTTGATTTTAACTTTAGGTAGCATTATAAGTGATATTAATAAAATCTTAAAAAATAGTAAATATGAAGTTACCGATCAAAGCCCTATGAATGTCGCCGGGAAAATGGCGTTTAATGAAACAGAAACGAACTAAACCGCAAAAAGACAGCCAACCTTGAGGTCAAAATTACTTTTGACAGATCAACAAGGTGTAAATACCAACCCAAATTTTGGGCGGTTAATTTAAGTTTAACTGAGTTTGGATGAATACCCGGTTGCAAAGGACAACACAGTGAAAAAAGTTGGTAGTGTAAACACAACTCCCCTCACTAATCAGCCCAAATTTACAAACAGGAGATTTTCATTCAACCTCATAAGTATGTAATGACGTTAATCATTATGGCTAGTTAAACAGCCAGGAGGTTAACGATTTTATAATTTCCAAACAGCCCAAGGTTCAATATACTTGGAGCTGTGATTTGCAAAGGATTCTATGAATCAATTACAATATTTGTATTATTTTAATATGAAATTTGAAACACTAATTCAAGTAATTAGCGTATTGAAATGCAATGTGGGTTGCATATGTAATAGTAATTTTAAGTAAAGATATTAAGTTATTTTATTGATATATTTATTTATTTTATTTCTATTTATGTATATAAATTGTTTTATGAAAAATGGAGAAAAAGTTCAACTAGTACACCTAATATGACATTAACGTAGTGAAAAGATTAAGTAGCCTAATTCTGCAAAATTAAAGCATGATATATTTGGCTCAAGTTACTTATGTCAGTTCTCTTATTCAATGCATTAGGGTGTTTTAATATTGAACACATTTCCAAAAACTGTCTTTTAGCTAGATTGCGTTCAGTGGCAAGGATCTTAACTTCATTAAAATCCACTTCATGTTTAGTATTTATCGCATGTTGTGCTAGGGCACAAGTGTGTTTCGATAAATTAATGTCGCTACGATGTAAAGTGAGACGACCTTTTAATGATCTACCAGATTGTCCAATGTAACATAAATCGCAATTAGCGCATGGAATTTTATAAATTGTGTTAACTTGTTCCAAAGTGGACAAGGGTGTTTTAGTTTCAGAGAACAAATTTCTAACAGTTTTTGCATTCTTAACAGCAATTTTAACAGGTATATTATTTTGTTTATTCAATTTAATAAGTTTCTCAGTAACTTGAGGGAAATAAGGTAAGGAAGAGTAATGTGTGATAGTATTCTCAAGAACGGTATTATGCAGAACAGTGCTATTTATAGAATTATTAGAGATGTTTCTAAGTTGGTCACCATCGGGTATGTCATAAATTGAGGATCCATAACTATGCGAATAAAGGTATTTATTGATGATAGAGGAAGGATATGAATTCTCTATTAGAATAT